GGTTCCCTATCAACCGTTCGAAGCCTCCTCGTAGAATTAAAAGGTATGTTCTTTAAAAAGTAGCGCTTTAATTCAAGTTATTTACTTTGAAAAGAAAGTATTTGGGGGAAATAAGATGTACAAACGTGCTATTTAAACTTTTTTCCAACTAGGGAAAGGCATAGACTAACTCAGTTACGAGTGCATCAGTTCCGGTATGCCACGACTGACTCATCGGATTGACGTTCTCGCACTTCTTGATATTAATTATTTAAAAAAGAAAGAAGTCACTTTTGGTCAATTACAGAAAAACTAGCGTAGGTCTTGTAAGAGTAAGTAAAATTTCAGAGGGCCCCAAGAGTAATATAATCCTGTTTATAGCGCCTACGCTCAGCTACATTCTGGGACCAGGAAACTTTTTAGGCCAGTCCCAATTAAGATACTATTTTAACTTATGAATCCGGAAGTGAATGGGGTGGATAATTTCACTTTATCACCACCAAAACGATTATTGGATGGACACAATTACATTCCAAACTAAATTAATTTTTAAATATCTGCTGACTTATAGTATTTAATTGGATTTTTATCAGAGATAGAGAGAAAATAAAGAAGTAGAAGGTAGGCCTAATTTTTTTTTAAAAAGTGACTTTCATTTAGTACTTAATCTTAAATCTGAGTCTGTGACAACCCCTCAACATTCTCATTGAGCTATTCTGAGATATTCTAAACATGTAATATTAAATATTATCATTATGAGTTCTTCTGCAATTTATTTTTTATATGTTTGAGATATATCGTCAGCTATAACATTATTACTGTTCATTCTACAATGAATCTCAATAACGTCAACATCAACATTGATCTGTTTGATTGTTTCATCATCTAAACTTTCTAGTCTAGTAAGCTTAGCTGCTTTTCGTGACTGAGCTTGGAAAGCCATATCGAACTTTGAACTCTCATAACTTTTTCACTAAAGAGCCAAAGAACATAAAAAAACTTCAACCGCGACTGAATTGTAGTAGAAAAATGTATTATAGTTAAATTGCTAGGCCGCCTTTACGAGGATGATGTGACTTTCACCTGTCATATCCCAGCATTGTAGACTGACAGGTGGAAATTTGGGAGGCAAAAGCTGGCGCTTATGGCAGAGGGTTAACTGTTAACTTTGGAATTAGAGCCATACAAGTGCTTACACCTTTTCAAGTGCAAGTATGGTCTTGAGCCTGACTGAAGAACAAAATACAGACCTGCATTTAATCATTTCAATTTATTTTTACATTACGAAAGGAAAATTTTGCTCTGATTACTTATAACTTTGGCTTATTATGTTTGGCCATTTTCCACTGTTTTGAAGTTGACAAGAAAACTCATTCAATATTAGGTAAGTCCTTGTTCTCTTTAATTTATTTCTCAAATAAAGAAAAGTTCAAATTCATTAGTTTGTCATCTGTGACACACTTTTTATAGCTTAAAAACGTAACATGGTTTTATTTACATGACTAGATAAGTGTTACTGATATAATGGTCTATTAACTACTTCAGCTAAAAGACTTTGTTACTTGCAGTCTCTTAAATAAATTTAATAGTTTTTATTTGTCGACCTCTATTAGAGTTTATTACATTTCTTTAAATTAGATATTTTTTGTAATTATATTAATAGTATGTATCTTTTTTTTTTCTTCAGATTTGATATTTAGAGGAAGTATGTGGATGAAACTTTCAGCAAAGGGATTACTTTTATTATTTCACAGTTTTTTATTATTTAAAAAGTAAAAAAAAAATTTAAAAAATATTTAAATGATTTGAAGTTGGGCCTAGAGTAGTATGATCATTATTAGTGAGACTGAGTACTCTCTAAGACTCACAAGAGGCAATTCATATTAAGTCATATTTTCATAACCCTTCTGTTGCACCCTTACAGTTTAGGACCCCTAAGTGTACATTCTAACCATTATTCACGTAAATGAATTATGCCATAGATTTTTCCCACTTCTCCCAATCATGCCTCACACCGCCTCACACTGAGTTTTTAGTAGAAAATAATTGTCACTAGGCTAAATATTTCGGTTATAATTTAAAAAAAAAAAAAAAATGTGCACAGGGATTAAACAAAGTCACTGTGTCAAATAATCTATCAGGTACCTATTTTAACCCTTACGAAACACCCCCAACCCCCTTTCAGAGCATGAGGTATATGGTTGACCTTAATCAGTGTTTAGGAATATAATATTACAATCATTTTAACAATGATTTTTTTAAAAATTTGTTTTTGGCCATACAGATGCTTCAACTTTTTACCACATTAACTCATTTAATCCCGTAGTAAACAAAATTCTTTTGGTCTGATTCCATCCATCCACTCTACATGCTGCATTATAGAAAGCAGAAATCTCATGATTTAAATGAAAGTCCTGCGGGATACGATACCAAGGGCGATTACTTCCATTTTTTTTTATAAATGGGACAAGGAGTATTCACTATTTAATAGATCAATTTTTTAGTAGTGGAGCGAGTATTGGGAAATAATGTAATACAACACATGAAGCAACCAATTGATGCTATTCAAGTACATTAAAAAATTTATTAGTTTTAATATTTGTCTAACCCTATCTACTTGTGAATGTTGAGTTCTTCTCCTATTGCTGGGGTCTCACAATTGATACAATTTCTGAGCACTATCAATTAAACGGGTTCATTTTCATTTTGGTGTAGCCACTATTCTTTTAATGCTGATAGATGTTTTTATTTAATAAATAAAATATTTAAACTGTAAAGTTCATTCTCGTCCTTTCATGCTAAATTCTGTTTGGTTAACTGGACAAAATGTCTTATATTAGAGTAGAGGCGTTGAGAAAGATAATGAGGGAGACAAGTGGTTTAGCACTTGTGACAGGAAGTAAGTCTTAAAATCCATACTACTGTTACTAGCTCTTGAAATTTCCTGTATTTTTTTGTAAATTTTTCTTGAGTAATACATTTCACTTAAAAAGTTTAGTTTAATATGGTCTTTGATGTGTAGCTTAAGATTAAAACTATGTACTGTGAAAAAATAGTCAATTATGATTAAGAAAATATCATGGTTTACTAGTTGTAAAGGGATATTTCTTTTGTCACTGTTGTGAATAATTGTTGAAGAAAATATAATGTAGGGGCAGTGAGTGCATTCTAGCTGTCAGGAATTTCACCTGGACTGAGTATATTTAATTTTTCTGCTAGGGGATTCTGAGTATTACTAGTAGCAAATAATGTTGAATAAGGAAGTGATTTGTTTGGCAAACTACTACAATTATAGTTATATTGTGTGATATTTTTAAAAAGATCAGTAAAAAGCTTAGTTATCAAGTACATTTTTCACACTGAGAGCATTGTAATATAAAAAAAGTGGTTGTAATGCTAAAAGAAATGTATTTAGAAGATTGTTTTATTTGAGTGTGTTTTCTATATGTAAAAGTTGGTTTGAATACATTGTGCAAACTATTGAGTTTGTTAATGCTAAAAGATGTAGAAATGCATTATAGGACAGTTAGATATGCAGTTGTGGAAAGTTGCAGGATCTGCTACTATTGAAGGATGGAGAGGTAATTATACTTTATCTTGCATGCTCATTTTTTCTGGTGTAGATGGATTTTCTGGCTTGTTTTTGTATGCACACATTTTTTAATATCTGGTATAGGTGTAGTGTATATTTGCATGGTTTTGTAGCATACGCTAATCACTGATTTACATTTATCATGTTTTTCTACACTTAATGCTCTTTTTCATTTCCTTAACTTTTTAATGATAAGCTTGATAGTATTTTGCTTTTCATTGATATGTCTGTTGTCAACTAACAATTTATAAAACTCTTTAATAAAATATATGGATCTATTGTTTTTCCACCCTTTTTCTCGTAACGCTTGTTTGTTATCTTTACAAAAGACCTTAAGCTACATTTATCTTATTTTAAAATAAGCATAAGACACTTTGTATATAATGGTTGTCTATATTACCTTTTAAGGTTGATTATTTGCTTATCTTAGCCTTTCTATTTCTCAGTTTTCCTTAGTAGTATCTATAGCAACTATTAATAAAAAGCACTTACGGTAAATGATTCATATTGGCTCAATTAAAATTTTTAAAAAGAACTAGAAAGTTATCCTTGTTGCTGTCAAAATTATGCGCAATTAGTTTTAAACCTTGTAATGAAAGATTTTTGTATCTACTTTTAACTCTGCTATATTGTGTTCTGAAGATGCATGGACTGTCAATCTCATCATTTTGTTTATCCCACTAATCATGTTAAATATAAACATAACAAGAGGTATAATGCTTTGGGATTTAAAGAAACTAATCATAGAGCATAATTTCTATTATATGTTATTATTTATGCCATCATATGCTTCTTTAATGTGGCTTGCATAAATATATGCATCATTGAATTGAAAGTCTTGCATATCCAGTATTAAATATTCATTTGTTCAAGTGGATATTAATAGCAGATATGAAATCATGGGGATAATATCTTGGAACACTGAAGTGCTACGAATACTATACTAATACATACACACTTTTTTTGTTTGCTCATGTCATTGGTGCACAAGTTATATAATTGCTTTGCTAAAACAATGGGCACCTTTTAAATATTTATTTATGGCTTACTATAAGACTAACATTTGATTCATCTATGATACTTGACTATTTGATGTGCATATTTATTTTTAAATATAAAATATAGAAAAAGAAGTATGAGTCTTGTTTTTCAATTTAAAAAAAAATATTTTTGCATGAGTTAATGCAATTTATTAATTATTTTTATAGATAATTGTGTCATGACACCACTAACACATATTTTTCAGATTTTATGTTGAAATTTCTTTTTTTTTAATGTTCTGGTATCAATTATATATTGATAGTAATAATTTAACATTTAAATTTTTTTTGCCTTAAATTACCCTATATCAAAATATTTTTTTTATATGAATTTAAAAAATGATTATTTCATTTTCTTCCTGTTTTAATTTTTTTAAATTGTAAATTTCAGGTTCAAGCGATTTTCCCCATTACAATAACATCAAAGTTCTACAATGAGTGCATGGGATGCATACATTTCAAACATGAAGAGCTCAGGCCTTCAAATCTGTGGCATTTATGGTCTTGAAGGTGGTCAGTGGGCACAGTCTCCTGAAATGAAGGCATCACAACAGGAAGTGGCTTCCATTGTTTCTGGGATTCAGTCGCAGAATTTTCCCAATGGTGTCCATATTGGAGGTGTTCGATACACTGTAATCCGTATTTTTCCAGATACCGTTACAGCGAAGTGCAGGGGGGCTGCAAAGGAGGAAGAAAACTACCTACTTCATGCAGCTCTAGCCAAAACATGTGTCATTATAGGTGGAATGTGTGGCCCTGCAGAGCGAGATACCACTAAGCTTGTAGAAGATATTAGAGATTACCTTGTTAAGAGTAACTACTAATGTTACGTGGGTGGCATTGCTGTTTATTACACTGTAATCTTTTATTTACTGTTAAAGCCAACAAATCCGAAAAATAACTTATTACATATAAGTTCTCAAAAGCCTTTTAGAGACTGGGATTGTTTGTACTGTATATTATTATTTATTTTTTTTAGCTAATTAGTCTGCATTAAAAGGTAGTTGCCATATTTAAATGATAATTTGCTCACTTATATTTGCTGAGAGAAGTGTGGAATAGGGTTTACTATAATTTGTGAGGGGTGAGTGTAGATAGATGGCTATATTCCTCTTCTGGAATTTAAAAAAAAAATGTATGATTGGCATGAATTCACACAAGTTAGTAATAAATATAAGGAAAAAAAAAGAGAGATTGTATTGATGAAATAGCTTCTGCTGTGAATGTTTTAAAGAGTTAACATTCTGCAGATAGGGTTACCAAGTTGTTTTAAAGTGAACACATTCTGTCAAGAAAATTACATTTTTAAATGCTTTGCCAAATATTTTTTAATACAGCTATTACCTCTGTTTGAAAAGGCTGGTGTAAGGCAGTGTTTCCAAAATCAAATTAGTATCTTATTACCTGCCATTTTGATTTTTTAATGTTTGAATATGTGGTCAGTCACAATGTTCATTATTAGTATTTTGCATAGTCTAACAATTACTACATATGTGAAGTATTTTTGCCATTTCTGTCAAAGAAAAATTAAAATAGCTTTCTTAAAGATAAAAGAATCGATGCAATTTCACAATTGTCCTGCTTTATTTCTTTTTATTTCAGCAATGACATTTTTGTAGGATTGACCTCTTGGACAGTTCTATTTTTAAATAATTTATGTTTGCAGACAAAAAAGAAGTTCTGGGCAATTTAATTTGGAACTCAAAATGTTGTTTTGCCGACAGTATTTTCTTGCTTGTTATGCTTTGATATAATGCACTTTGTTACTTAATAAATAATAAAGTTGAATAAATTTATAAATGTCTGGTATTTATGTGTCAAAATTCTATGTATGTTAAAAGGATAATGGTGCTCACCAGTACCTTTGAAAGCAAACAATTCTACACAATTTTTCATTTCTTAAATATTTACAAATTGGAAATGTGTGCACGCTTTAACAGCTTTTTTATTTGCTTATTTTTTTAACAGAAGATAGCATTTCAAGACATTTGATATAGTAACTACTTTTTTTTTCTAGGCTGATTATTTTTTGTGCTAGTCACCTGTACCAGTTGGTTTTTAGGCTAAGATGGTATTGAAAGCTGACTATAATAGCCTGTTTTCTTGTCGCAACTATACAGAGATGTGCTGATATCCTAACAAGCTACTACACATGCATGGGAAGAACAAAAAAAGCTATTGTTCAACTTTGTTCAACTTATTTTACATGTGGCTATAAATGAAATATAGCTCAAAGTATGAATTACTTTTAATTTGAAGAATGTGAAATGTCACCTCATGAGAACTTGGTCATGGCTTAGGCTGATTTTGAAAACATATTTGACTCACCCTCACACTTCAAAACACATCAAAATAGATGATAGAATGTTAAGTAGTTTAATAATTTTGTTAACAATAATAATCTTCTAGAGCAGGGTTTCCTAACATTTTCTGAATTCCCAAACGCCCTACAGATCTTTTGACTAACTCTCGCACCCCTTACTGAGGTACTGGTAACAAACAGCAATGCATGTTCCATTTAAAGACAATTATAAACTTTACAAAATAAACTTGTGGCTTAAAATGATACATCAACTAAATTTTGAATTGAAGTTTAGGAAGACATAAACATTTATGTCATGACTTAAAAATCAATAGCTCCTCTTTCATATGATTGCTTTTTCTCGCATCCCCTCAAATTTCTCTTAGCGCTCTTGGAGGAGCCAAGGTCCCAGAATTTGTAAACCCAGTTCTAGAGTTCCAGAATGGAAATGTCATCTTTACAATTTTACATTGCTTTCATAAAATATTCTAATGCTAATCGACATTTGTTATACTTATACTCTTAAAAAAGTAATTTAAAAATTGATAAATGTTGATGCTGAATAAGTTGATGTGTCCAGGAATGGGTGTTTTTAATTCTCCAACAGGTAGGAAACTGTTGAATAATAATAACTGAGCACCAATTTTTTTTTTTTTACTAGGCTCAACAAACAATTTTGTTCTAATTGAATTAGTTAAACAAGCTTAGTGGGTTTTATAAGTTAAAGCAAAAACAAATGTTGGTTGTATAGTAATACCTTTCAGGTTTGTTTCTTACAGAAAATGTCTTGGGCTGCATACATTACAAATCTTGAAACAGGAAAAGGGAGATGCAAATATGCTGCAATTTATGGCAAACAGGGAGGTGTATGGGCAGAGTCAATAGATAAATCCCTTTTTCAGCCATCAGCAGAAGAAGTTGCTGCTGCAACTAAGGCAGTTGTCAATCAAGACATGAATGTAATGGGAACTGGTTTAACAGTAAGTATTGATACATACCGGTACGGGTTGTTAAAGTTAAAAGTAGAAGTTTTTTGTTTGTTTGGGAAGTAAAAGATATAATTTTAGTATTTTTTCAAGAAGTGAAAGTTTAATACTAATAACTGCACTGATTCCAATTATGCTGTACTCTTATATTAAATTATTAAGTTTATTAGTTTTCTTGCTATAATCTTGTTAAATTTTCCTTTAATTAATGAATTCATTGAATATGTATATTCCTCTTTCCTGCATTGAAATAAAATATTTTTAGATCAAAAGGCATGTAATTATGTTACCTTAATCACTTCCAGTCTTATCTTAGTCAACACTTTGACCATTTTCTTCTTTTATATTTTGAGGGCCTACGATCAAAGTATTGATCATTCTGGCTCCATTTTTGCCTTTTAAATAGGATAAACAAAACAAATTCACTTTTTTAATGTAGATGGGTGGAGTCAAGTTTACATGTTTGAGAATGGAACCAGACATATTGATCTGTCAGGGAAAAGGAGATAATAAAGACTACAGCTTAGTTATAGCAATCTCAAGTAAGTATATCTTGCCAACATTGGTGTTTACGATTAACTCATTCCTTGCAGCAGTGCTACTTCTGTTCCTATATTATATAATTACTGTCTAGTGGGCCCATGCATTGAGACTGTGCTGGGAATTTGGGAGCAGTAGATGGGGGGGGGGGGGGGGGGGGATTCATGTACTTCTGTTTGTCATTTTTATTGGATGGAATAAGCTACTAAATATCAATTACAGTTAATGAATTAAGGACTTATTCATCAAAAATGAATAAAAGTTTAATAGAAATATAACATTAGCTGTGAAAAACAATTCCGAAAAATTCTATTTCTGCACTTTGGACAAACACATGCTACATATAGACATGCCATGCTAAATCACATATAGTATAGTTTACAAATGAAACAAGATAAAAAAAAACTTCTGTTTTTTTAATTGAATTCACGCCATCCCTGGAAGGCGTGAGGGATGCAAGATTTCATTGCTATTTTAAACTAAAATTGCGAGAGGCGTTTCAATATGCTCCAGGATGCATTTGGAAGCTTCTGTCAAAACCCCTAAAGGACACATTTAGTTGCAACCGTCGGAAATAAGTTAAAGATAAAGCTCTATGGAGCCATTTATACATTACATACATGCTGAGGGTAGGGGGTAGTGTTGATTTGGGAGATGTTGCATGCAGGTGTAGGGGAGGGGTCTTTGCAGGAGGAGTACTAAATATTTGTGCTTTGAAATTTAATAAAAAGTCTCTTGAAAGAATGTCACCATAAAGTCTATAAAAATTCAACAAATTATCATTTTACTGGCACTTATGCTTTGTTTTCACAAATGTACTCCTTAGGTTACCCATCATAGAAAGTGATTTTATGATTTTGATCATTTTCTTGTTTTATTTAATAAGATAAAAATGAGAAATAAACAATGGATCACTTCATTTCTTTGTAATTTTTTTTAAAGTTAAAAGTTTCTAAATACAGGTATAGTTGTGCCCTTTTGCTTGGTCTGATAGGACTCCAAGCGGTAACAAGAAAAATTAATGAATTATCTCCCCTTAGATATACAAGCGTTCTGCCTTGTTTTACTTCATTCCTAAATAGATAAATCACAACTGTTACGCTGTTTAATCTCGTCTTTGCCAAATTTAGAGGTTTCTTTTACAACAAAATCTAATAATTTTGTCCCCAATGGCCTCCTATGACGAATTTGATAGCAACTGAAGTGTAATTATAGATAATTTATCAGTTAATTATGCTAGCTGTAGTAATACAGTTTCCTTTATTTACATTATCAAAGTGACATCAATATTCCCAGACTTTTAACTTCTAAAAGCTATTGAGTTTACCATATTAAGTTTAATGAACCCAGAAAACAATAAAAAATGTAAGTCTTGTGTAATCGAGGTGTATTGAAATTCATTTTTAAAATATAAAGGCAAATCAATTGTTTGTACCTGTTAGCATAAATTCCTTCGGATTTGTTGGATAAATGAAAAAATAAAAATAATTTTTATTTTATCAAAAGCTATTCATGAGATTTTGTAAATAAAATTTTGTGCTACTATTTAACAGACCAAGCTTGCATTATTGGACTGAATCCTGATGCAGATACAAAGACAGCTCAAGTACGTGATGCTGTGGAAGTGATTCAAGTTTACTTGAAGGGTGCTGGCTATTAATTTATAATACATGTATTAAATCTTTGAATGCTAGCTGATATTTTACAAATTGGAGGAAAAAAAATGAAGTATTGGTCGATTCACTTATTTTTGTTTTTTCACTTATGTTTACTGCAGAAAAAAGGTAAAATTTGGTCTTTGAAATATTATATACTATTGTTAAAATGTTTCTGTAGAAAATAGAATTAGTTAAATAATTTTGACTTGAACTAATTTTGCTGAATATGTTGAAAATTGTTTAATTAGAATTACCATTGACATTTTATGACCAGCTCTTCTGCTTCTTTAACAAAAATTATCAATTCACTGTCATATTTGAATATTTTACAGAACATAAATTTGTTGCAAAAGATTTACATAAAATTCATGGTTCTAAAATTCTTGGTGTTCTGCTGATAATCTTTTCCCATAATTCAGAACTAAAACAAAATTAAGAGAAATTACTGGATTTTTTTGAATTGCAATATGGAACAGAACATTATTTAAAACTAATTTTACAAACACTGTTGAAGGTTTGCATTCATTTACTCTTGCTATAAATGTGCTATGTTTTGTAGGGTATCATGTATTTAATGAAATAGTATGTCTGGTTTGAAGCTAAAGCAACAAGGTAATGCAACAGTGAGACATGGGAACAGAAGGTTTAGTAATAACAAAAAAGTTCTTGTTTTAATTTTCATTGCTTTTAATTTTTGGGACGTTTTTTTTTTTTTTTTTTTTTTAAATTATTTTTTTGTTTACCAGTACCAATGTCTGAAAACTGGGAAAGCATTAAATTTTTTTTAGAAACTTTAGAAAACATGGCATTTTTTTTTTTTTTTTTTTTTTTTTTTTTTTTTGGGTGGTTTTTTTTTTTTTTTTTTTTTTTAAATTATTATTTTGTGTACCAGTACCAATGTCTGAAAACTGGGAAAGCATTAAATTTGTTTTAGAAACTTGAGAAAACATGGCTGTAGTACCATTTGAATGTTAAAGCTTGTATGATCAACAAGACTGAAAATGAATGAAGTTAGGTAGACTTATGTGATAAAGCGTTTGCGTTACAAAATATCTTCCTTAACAAATATTTTTGACACGTAATAGGATTTCCTTCCATACAGAAATACTTTGTCTGCACATGGCTCTATCATTACTGTTCAACTTTTAGTACAGCAGGTAAATCTGGGCTTTGGTGGTAATATTTATACTTGTTCCTGCCTGCTTGATAATGACTTGTTTTTGTCTTGTATTAGTTCATGTGGGAATGTATTTACTGGGGCTCATCTCTTTTATTTCTTTTTTACACAGGCCTCTATTGTATTTTTAAATGTTTCATTGGCTTATTTACACACACTCTTAACTCATGAGGAAAGGGTCTGTTCTTCTGACAGTACTACATTATGCTGCTTAGAGTTAAACCTTTTCCTTCGTAATTTTGAGACAAACTCGAAGTAATCAATGAAAAGATGACCAGTTGGGCATTCTTTCTCCATTTTTAGCTTGCACTATGTAGCTGACAGAGAAGCTATCTGGCTGCTTTTCATTTCTAGAGTTTGTTCCTGCTGTAGGGCTCCAGTTGTGTATTCAGTGCCTCCTCTTGTTTGCAAATTAAGCCGCATGTAGTGAGGAAGTTTTGAAAGATCTTTGCCAGCAATGTTCATTTTTTTGGTCATTTCTATTTTAATGTAAGATATTGCTCATGTATTTTGATAAATTACTACATTTCAATTATCTATAATATAATACAAACACTGTAAACTTGATTAGCTTACATTTTTTTTCAACACATTAAAGAAAATAAATTCTGAATTATTTTTTATTTGTTTTCTTTCTATAATTATGTTTTAGATTTAGATAATTTTATTACCAGGACCCTGTATCTTTTTTCAACCTACAGCTGTTAAAGTAATTATTATAAGCATAATTATTCTTTTTAAATTGGATTGGAAAGTGGCATTGGAAGTTCAATATCTCCTTAGCCTGAAAATAGATTTCTTCTAAGAGTAGGAAACGAAAACAGATTATTTTCCTTAAAACTGTTGGATTACCTGTAAATTGTAAACCGCTAATTAAAATTTAATTGACACATTAAAAAAATATCCCCCCTACATTGCCCCCCCTCCTCTCAGTCTCAGATCATCAGGCGAGAAAAACAACAATTTTATAAAGTTACTTAGAGTGGCATTTTCATAAATATTGAACTTCAAGTAGAAAAGCTGTCCGATAACCAAATTTATATACATTTTTTAACAATCAGTTTTTTTATGGACATCCTAAAGGTAGAATTGAAAAAGTCGATTTAAATTTAAGGCATAATTTTAGGATGGTAGATAAATTTACGGAAGGTTGAAAATTCCAATCTGATCAAAGATCTACAAGATGGCTGTGGAAATGTAGGTGTGCCTTGATCCTTTGATTTTGGTTGTTATTAAGTTATTATTAATAGAAGTTATGTTGTTAATATATAGTTAAAATATTCCTTTTCTTTACTTTAAACTAAAACTACTAACTACTTGTACTTGATTTATATTAATTTATAAATGATTTTTAATAAAATCTTCCTTTTTTTTAAACTGTCCAAAAAGATTATGTCAGGATCCAAAATTTACATGTGTAATTTTATTTTTTAAATAATTAACCAAAACACGCGTTTCTTATACGAGCTTAGAACTTGACAGTCTACACATAGGATTCTAACACCTCCTGGGGTGGGGGGTGGTTAATGGGGAAGTATGGTGTTGGAAAGTGCAACAGCAAAGGCCTGCTGCTACTTCAGACCTGTTCATAGCGGCTATTCGGACCCGGGTCCCTTTAGGCTAAATCCCATTCGGATGTCATGTGTGGTAGTATATTTTAGTTAAACTGAAGAAGTAAGTTCTTTCATTTGATACCTCAGTTTTTCTTGCAAACCCAACAATAATATTTTAAATATTTTTTTCAATCCCAATCTCTCACTTGACACTTCAGATACCAGGTGCGAATAGCCACCAAAAAGTATGCGAAATTATTATTATGAACTTGACCTTTATTCTTTTGAGAATCGCAGCGAAAATAACTGATAAAATATTAGTAGGCCTATTAGATAATAAAAGTCCCTAGAAGGCCTTTAAATTATATATTATTGCTTAAGAAAATGTTTAACAAACATAAATTCAATAGCTATCATATTCAATCCATTTATATTATTTTAGGGATGTATAGTGCAATTATTAGTGGAGTAGAAGTCTAATGTTGAATTTTTTTTTTATACAGAGTTAGGTTGGTGCCATATGCAGTGTTTCTTTCAGACATTCCACCCCCCCCCCACCGGGGGAGGGGGGCATTTCAAATTTTCGGGGAGGGGGGTTGTGCCATTTGCCAGTGACCTTAGGCGTGGCTAAAGGGTGTCAGATTGGGCATATGTCATTATATTATTTTAGGGATGTATAGTGCAATTATTAGTGGAGTAGAAGTTTAATTTTGAATTTTTTTTTTATACAGAGTTAGGTTGGTGCCATATGCAGTGTTTCTTTCAGACATTCCCCCCCCCCCACCGGGGGAGGGGGGCATTTCAAATTTTCGGGGAGGGGGGTTGTGCCATTTGCCAGTGACCTTAGGCGTGGCTAAAGGGTGTCAGATTGGGCATATGTCCCGGGACACTAGATTAGTTGGGGGAGCGCAAAATGGGATTTGGTGGTATTTAATGGTGGAAAATAATCAGTTTCAGAGTTGAGGGGAGGCATAATAATTAATCTTGTCCTCTGATGCCAAACACTGTGCATACGCCCCTGCTAGTGTCGTCGAAATAAGGCGCATGGGGTGGACCACCCAGGTGTCACTTTTTCTTTATATGCAGCGGCGCCGCTCTTAGGATTTTGGGGGCCCTAGGCAACAAACGCATGTTGGGGGCCCCGGAAAGGGGGTCTGTGGGCGGAGCTCCCCCGGAGCCGAGGAGAAAACATCACCCACCACTACGGCACCTCCATTCTGTCTTCGTCACTGTTTCCTCTTTGCTCGCGTGTAACCACTAACCAGATTGATAATCCCGCCACTAGAGAAAATGTGTACTTCTGAAATATATGGGCTTGCAAGTTGTAGGGTAAAATAAAGCACCCGGCTGAACCCCCTTGGCAGTGGGGCCCCAGGAGGTTGCCTACTTTGCCTATGCCTAAGAACGGCTCTGTATGCAGGTGTGGCATTTTCGGACAGGGGTAATAAAGGGAGAGAATGCAATCAGGTTAGTACAAAATAAAATGAGTAAAACAGAGTAGGGTTAAACCTGAAAAAATAAACGCAACAAAACAGCGAACGTGTCGGCAGAAAGCCTTCGTCAGCGAACAAAACAACAAAAAAAAACGGTATAAAAATAAAATTAAGAAATAGCACTGAGCTGGTAAGTAGTATCTGTGGGCAGCAATAGAAGTAATACTACTTACCAGCTAAGTGCTATTTCTTAATTTTATTTTTATACCGTTTTTTTCTGTTGTTTTGTTCGCTGACGAAGGCTTTCTGCCGACACGTTCGCTGTTTTGTTGCGTTTATTTTTTCAGGTTTAACCCTACTCTGTTTTACTCACTTCATTTTCGGACAACTGCAGAGTTTGTATCGTGAAAGTGAAAGGGAGGACAGCAAAAAGAATTGCCCGCCCATGACGGCACTAATATGCCACTATGCAGTGTATCTATCGCTACCAAAATCGGCGATCATTTTCATTGGGAAGTAGGGCGAAAATTGAGGGCGCCGATGTATCTTGATAGGTGGAGGGGTCTGGGGGACCTGATCCCCAGAAAATGTTTGATTATTTCAAAATCAAGAGGTGTATTTTTTAGTATAATTGAATTCAATGTTTCTATGATACTTTTTAAACGGGGGAAGACATTTTTTAAGGTTTTGTGGGAGGCATTAAGGCACCCTGTGCCATACATGAACTGAATTCACCCCGTTTGGGGCGTGCCCCAAAGTAAACAGTTAGAAAAAGCTTATAATTAACCCTGTACTGTACCATTGATCGGCGTGAGTGAAAAGGAGGGGGAGGGGTAGAAACTTAGGGTGCTAAATGCCGTCGGACAAACTTAAAATGCAGGGGTGTATTTTGGCTAATATTTGAATTTTTTATTTGTTTCAGACAATTTTGAGGTTGGATTTCAAACTTTTGGATATGATGAAGTGTCAAAATTAGCCATAATAATGATCAAAGACATCTTAAACTCCGCACCAGCGGGGCGTAAAACTAAATTCATGTGTTACCCTTGAGGGTAAGCCTTTGCCCCAAATTATTATCACCCCTTAAATCTTTATAGTCCCCAGAATTTTTTGCTAAATTAAAAATACAAGAATGCTTTTTATCACATATCAGAATTAAGTTTTGAAAATTCTACACTTAATTGGAGAGCAACGGGAGATCTAAGTTTAAAAATGTAGGTGTCACTTAACATTAGAACCATCGTGTGCGCCCAGCAACCTCTACGACAGCAGGGTGACTCTGATATTTTAGGGGTTTAAAGATGTGATGAGGATATTTTCTTAATTATCATCTTTCAATGCTGATTGGAAAAACAAAACAAAAAACAAAAAAGAGTGGGTGGGGGGGGGGGGGTGCAAAATGAAACAGTGTTTGACAGGCTTGTGTTAGGCAAACAAAATTATATCATCTTTCAATGCTGATTGGAAAAACAAAACAAAAAACAAAAAAGAGTGGGTGGGGGGGGGGGTGCGAAACGGAACAGTGCTTGACATGCTTGTGTTATGCAAACAAAATTTGTATATTACTAAAAAAATAGTAACATGGCTTTTATTTTTTATTTACATTATTTTGGGGGATAGCTACATAATTAATTAATGAATTTTCAACACACACAAAATAAGAAGAGAGGGGATCCATCACTACAAAGCACTCTAAATATTATTTTCTATGATGAACGCAAATGGAGAAAAGAACCAAAAAAAAAAACTTTATTATAATAATTAGACTACTTTTTCAAAATATTTTGAAATTTTACCCCAGTCAAAAATATAAAATAAATCTTGTTAAATTAGAAAGGTCTATACATTTGAATGTGTTTTGAAAACTGGTCATTTTTAAACATCGTATATACGGTATATGAGCGGAATAACTATTTTAAGAAGACATTGATTGTTTACAAAAGACATTATATATTTATTAATGTGTGATGTTATCTAAGGGAAATCGTATTCAAATAAAGTATATATTTCTCATTATTCAGTTTTAATTGAAATGTTTATTTTTAATTTCAAAATAGGCCTACTATAAATTTTTTCAGATAATTACAAATTGTCTCTTAGATATACTTTAAAAAACATTTTTTTAAAAAACCCAATACACGGAATTTTAATTTGAACAAATTAGGGGAAGAAATTTGTTTCTAAAACTAGAACCAACAAATTTTTTAATTTTTTAAAATAGAATTGACATGATAATCAATATACTAGTTCACAAAAATCTTTTTTTCTTCCTTTTCTTTTAAATAGCTATCTGATAGATTCCTATCTATAAAAAATAAATACTTTTTAAAAAATCCGTGCAAATAGGTGGGGCATAATAAATACAGGCTACGTATTTTTTTAACCTCTGTAACATTGTTACAAAAGTAGAACATGAAAAGAAAACACAAACGCTTTCGATATGATAGTTGAAGAAATGTGCACTTGTTGTATGCGCCCGTTAAATATTTAATTTTTAAAAAATCTTATTATTTTAAGTTCTCATTTTGTATAACTCAACACACAAGGGCGTCGACTAAATTTAAAGTTATGCAAATAAAAATATTTTTTTAAAGAATAACGCCATCATACAATGAATAATTAACATTATCGA